ACTCACAGATGAGACTACAGAATAATGAGGTATTTTGATGTATTAGTAACTAAAGTATGAAAAGCAAGATGGAATTTCTATGTTAAATGCCTCTGCCTCAAGCAAATCTGATTGTTACCTGTTTTTCAGTATTTCTTGATGTATTATACCAATACCTTTAATATTTATAAACAAGTTTGAAAATATAATGGAGGAAAAAATTCCACTTAAAATAATTTTTAAAAATTCTAGGAATAATGTAGATGACAAAATAAATTTCCAGAAATAGAAGTATACACCACCATAAAGTTATTAGTCCTCACTTTTGATTCTAATAAAAATGCCAATAGTATTTTTTTCTTTTGGAAATAAGCCAATTATAAAGTTTACAGAGAAAATATACAAAAAAGTTTTAAGAAAAATTCTTTAAAAGAAGAGTAATAATTGGGAAAAGTAGCCCTTCCAGCCATATAAATTTTATTATAAGACCTCAAAGACCCTATGTCTGTGTTCCCCTTAGACTGTAGCCTCAAGGGCAAAACCAGCCTCATTTACATTTCTATTCCTAGTGCCTAGACACTGCCTTACCCATAGTAAACACAAACAAATTTTGAAGGAATGGATAAACATGTTTACTCATGTGGTCTCTCCCTCTATAGTTTAAGATCCATGAACGCAGGAACTATTTTTCCATTTTGTGACCTCAGAATTTAGCACAGTGGACGTTTAATAATTGTTTTGTTAAATGCGTTCATTTGTAAAAGTGGGACTTATTTATAAAATACTCATTACAATTAGGGAATCCTCATGGTAGAAAAAAATGAAAAAGAAATAGAATGATATAAATATAAAGAAAACATTATGACAAATTCAGAAAACGTAGTTTCAAATCAAATTACAGACAAAAAAGCTAACTTCTTTTTATACATAAAGGATTTGTAAAATCAGTAAGCAAAAAACCAAACCATAACAGAAAAAGATAACCAAAGGATAATAAAAGACAATTAACAGAAAAAGCAATATGAATGGGTCTCAAATACATGAAAAGAAGTTCAACATCACTCTTAGAAGAAATACATATTAAAACCATATGGTGAAAACAAGAAAGATCTTAAATCAACAACCTAACTTTACAACTCAAAGAATTAGAAAATGAAGAACAAACTAAATCCAAAGCTGTTGGAAGGAAGGAAATAATAAAGATTAGAGCAGAGATAAATGAAATGGCAAACAGAAAAACCAGAGAAAAATAAATGAACCAAAAATTGGTTCTTTGAAAAGATAACAAAATTGACAAACCTTTTAGCCAGATAGACTAAGAAAAAAAGATTCAAATTACTAAAACCAGAAATGAAAATGGGGACATTAACTATCAATTCTACAAAAATAAAAAAGATTATAGAAGGAGTACTATGAACAATTAACTGTACAGCAACAAATTGGATAAACTAGATGAAATGCACACATTCCTAGAAACACAAAACCCACTAAGACTGAAACAGGAAAAAACAGAAAATCTGAGTAGACCTACAACTAGTAAAGAGATTTAATCAATAATCAAAAAATCTCCCAAGAAAGAAAAACCATAGCCCTGAACCTGATGGCATCACTGGTGAATTCTACTGAACATTTAAAGAAGACCTAATACTAACCCTTTTGAAATGTTTCAAAAACTGGAAAAGGAAGGAACACATCCTATGAGGCCAGCATTATTCTGATACTAAAGCAAGACAAGACACTACAAGAAAACTACAGACCAATAATCCCTTAAGAACACTGATGTAAAAATCCTAAACAAAATATCAGCAAACTGAATTCAGCAGTATAGTAAAAAGATTATACTCCATGACCAAGTGGGATTTACTCCTGGAGTGCAAGGATGGTTTAACATACAAAAATCAATCAATGTAATACACCACATTAACAGAATGAAGGGGGAGGACAGAAAAAATACAATAATCTCAACTGATGCTGAAAAAGCATTATGACAAAATTTAACACTCTTTATGATAAAAACAGTCAAAAAACTATGAATACAAGGAAACTATCTCAATATAATAAAAGCTATATAGAAAAAACCCACAGCATACATCATACTCAATGGTGAAAGACTAAAAAGCTTTTCCTCTAAGATCAGAACAAGAAAAGGATTTCTACTTTCACCATTTCTATTCAACAGAGTATTGGAAGTCCCAGCCAGAGCAATTAGGCAAGAAAAAGAAATAAAAGGCATCCAAATTGGAAAAGAAGTAAAATTATCTCTGTTCACAGATCATACAATCCTACATATAGAAAACCCTAAAGATACCGCAAAAAAAAAAAAACTGTTAGAGCTAATGAACGAATTCAGCAAAGTTATCAGGATACAACACACAAAAATTAGTTGTATTTCTATACGCTAACATTGAACAGTCTAAAAAAGAAAATTATGAAAACAATTCCATTTATAACAGTCTCAAAAAGAAGAAAATACTTAGGAATTAACTTAACCATGGAGGTGAAAGACTTGCACAATGAAAACTACAAAGTATTGCTGAAAGAAATTAAAGACGACGAATAAATGAAAACACATCCCATGTTCATGGACTGGAAAATCTAATATTGTTAATGTCAATACTACCCAAACCGATCTACAGATTCAATGCAATCCCTATCAAAATCCCAATGACATTTTTTGCAGAATTAGAAAAACTCATCCTAAAACTCATATGGAATCTCAAGGGATCTCTAATAGCCAAAACAATTTTGAAAAAGAAGAACAAAGCTGGAGGACTTATACTTCCTGATTTCAACACTTACTAAAAAGCTACAGTAATCAAAACAATGTGATACTGGCATAAAGAGAGACATATATAGACCAATGGAATAGAACAAAGAAATAAACCCTTGTGGATAGAGTCAAATGATTCTGGACAAGGTGCCAACCATTCAATGAAGAAAAGACAGTCTTTTCAATAAATGGTGCTGGGATAACTGGATTATCCACATGCAAAATAATGAAGTTGGACCTTTACCTAACACCATATACAAAAATTAATTCAAAATGGATCAAAGACTCTAAACATAAGAGCTTAAAACTATAAAACTCTTAGAAGAAAACACAGAATAAACTTTCATGACACTGGATTTGGCAATGATTTCTTGGATACGACACCAAAGGCACAAGCGACAAAAGAAAAAATAGACAAACTGGACTTTATGAAAATTTAAAAATTTCGTGTACAAAAAGATACTATCAACTGGGCATTGTCACAGAATGGGAAAAATTATATGCAAATCACATATCTGATAAAGGATTAATATCCAGAATATATAGATAACTTCAACAACTCAATAACAAAAAAAAACCTGATTCAAAAATGGGCAGAAGACCTGTATGGACACTTCTCCAAAGAAGATATATAAATGGCCAATAAGCATATGAAAAGATGCTCAACCTCACTTATCATTAGGGAAATGCAAATCAAAACTACAATGAGATACCACCTCACATCCATTAGGATGGCTACCATCAAAACACAGAAAATAAGAAGTGTTGGCAACTATGTGGAAAAAATGGAACCCTTGTACACTGTTGGTGGGAACGTAAAATGGTACAGCCACTGTGGAAAACAGTAGGGCAGTTCCTCAAAACACTAAAAACAGAATTACTGTATAATCCAGCAATTCTACTTCTGGGTATCTACTCAAAAGAACTGAAAGCAGGGTCTTGAAGAGATATTTGTACGCCCATGTTGAAATAAATAATATAAAAAATGTTCACAGCCACATTATTCGTTATAGATAAAATACGGAAGCAACCCAAGTGTCCAGCAACAGGTGAATGAATAAGCAAAATGTGATATACATACAATGGAATATTCTTCAGCCTTGAAAAGGAAGGAAATTCTGACACATGCTACAGCATAGATGAATCTTCAGGACACTAAACTAAGTGAAATGAGCCAGTTATAAAAAGACAAATCCTGTATGATTCCACTTAACAGGAGACAGAGTAACGAAAATCATAGAGATAGAAAGTGGAATGGTGGTTGCCAGAGAAGGAGAATGGGGAGTTATTGTTCAATGGGTATAGAATTTCAGTTTTATATGATGAAAAGAGTTCTAAGATGAATGGTGGTGATGGTTACACAATATTATGAAAGTATTTACTACCCCTGACCTATATAGTTAAAAATGGTTAAGAAGCTAAATTTTATGTTATATGTATTTTAATATAAAAAAATCTTTGGAAAAACAATATGGAGATAACTCCCCCACCTCATCCTTTATACAAGCCTACTAGAAGGACAAAAATCTCAAAGTTTCAAAACATACTGTTAACATGGCTACGAGTGGGGAGGTGGGAGAGGGGAGAGTCATATACACTGCTGACAGGAGCTAAAGACTGCAACAAGCTCTCCTGGATAGCAATTTGACAGTATCAGTAAAAATTACCAACTCACACAACACCTAGAAATTTCATTTCTGAGGACTCAACTTACAAATGAGCAAAACAATGTTTGATAAAAGGTTATTCTTCACAACATAATTTATAATAGTCCAGACTAGAAACAATCCAAATTTTGATGAGTAGGGACAGGTTGAATAAATTATACTTTGTCCATAAAATGGAAAATCAAGCAGCTATAAAAGCAAAGGAAAGGGATGCTGTCTATGTAATGATATGGGAAAAATCACTGTATTTTATACAATATAAGGGAAAAAAAAGCAAGGTGCTGGACAGTGTATATATTTTGATATTTTTTGCGAAGGTTGGGGGATAAAAGACATTCATATGTGCTAGTGGTATACATCAACTCTGGAAGGATACACTAGAAACTGATAATAGCAGTTCCTGTATGTGTGTGCCGAGGGGGTGTGAACTGCACATATGGTAGACAGTACTTGATAGATCTTTTACACATATCCATGTGAATGAATCATTAATTCAAAAGAAGTCCTAATTTTACAAGTCACGTATAAAATTAACACATGCTTTACTAATAAAACAACAATTACAAAATTCTCTGTAATCTTACCTGCAAACTAGCCACGTAGGAATCCTCACAACTCACATAATGTCCTAACATGGCGTGTTGCGCCCGTAACTCATTATCCCTTATCCTCTCATGTAGGTGGGTAATTTGTTGCTTCTGTCTGCAAAACATAAATTGAGGTCACATTACAAAAAAATATATACTCTTCTAAGGGATAGTTAAAAGCAGAACTTTCAGGATTCTAATAATTTGACATAAAATTATTATCAATTTTAAAATTCAGAATAGGGAATTTTTTAAACCACAGTACCATGAGGTATGTGGAAGACAACTGATTTATTTATACTGTAGAGTACTTCTGGCAATTTATAGAATACAACCTTCTTGAACACTCTTCTTAGATTCTAACAAAGTCACGCTTTGCTTTCTTTCTTCTTGTTACCTAACATAATAAATGTTACATCCTCAGTCAGGAATGCTTTTACCTTAAAATCATTATTTTCATTCATCCAAATTTTGTTCAACACTTACTAGCTATTGAAGCTTTTGAGAATCTCATTGTCTGGGGTGAAAGGTATTTTTATAAATATCATCTAGCCCAACGGCTGTTCTACGCTTGCATCTTCTCTACAACATCCCAGGTTGCACAGTCTACACAAACACCACCAATGATCGAGGACTCACCTGGTCACAGATCTGCATCTTTGGATAGCACTGACATTTCGTTTTAGTATAACCTCATGTTGGAACCAGACACATTGAAGTTCAATTCCTTCCTCAGCAGCTCATAGCTTACTTTACTCAACTTACTTAACTTTTGTGAATACGTATCCTTACATATTTAAAAACTGTTATGTGCTAGGCATCATGCTAAGAGCTTTATATGTATTATCAATGATCTTTAAAAATTTAATAACAAGTCTCATATTAAGGTTATGATGGAGAGAGAGCTTTTAGGAATGATAATAAAAACCAATCCACTGAAAGAGAGCCAGAATTGACACAGATGATAGAATTAATAGGCAAGGACACTAAATCAGTTATTATAACTGTTTTCATATGTTAAAAAACAACTAGAGGGGCCAGCCTGGCGGCGTAGTTCCACTTCAGTGGCCTGAGGTTTGCGGGTTCAGATCCCAGGCGCAGACCTACACGTCGCTCGTCAAGCCATGCTGTAGTGGTGTCCTACATACAAAATAGAGGAAGACTGACACAGATGTTAGCTCAGGGCTAGTCTTCCTTGAGCAAAAAGAGGAGGATTGTCAACAGATATTAGCTCAGGGACAATCTTTCTCACCAAAAAACAAAAAAACCCTACAAAAAAGACAGAATATGTTGAATAGAGACACAGAAGACACAGACATTACTCTAAATGGGATTAACGGCAGACTAGAATTTGCAGGAAAAAAGATTAGTGAATTTGAAGACAAAGCAATAGAAACTATCTGGGGAAAGAAACAGGAGAAAAAGTACTAATGAACAAAAGCTCAGAGCATCAGTGAGTTGTGGGATTTCTTTAAGAGGCAAAATATAAGTGTGATTAGAATCCCTAAAGGAGAGGGAGGAAAGTGGAAGCTGGGGCAGAAAAAATGTTTCCAGAAAACTGGCCAAAATTCTTCCAAATTTGATGAGAACTATACACCCACAGATCCAAGAGGACCAGAGAACCCCAAGCATAAGTAACGTGAAGAAAACTAAACTAAGAAACATCTTAATCAAATGGCTTAAAAATCAGTGATAAAGAGAAAATCTTACAAGTAGTCAGAAGAAAAAAGATAAATTCATCCAGGGAGACAAACGTAAAGAGGATAGCAGATTTCTCGCCTGAATTAACGCAAACAAGACAGTGAAGCACTTTAAAGTATTACTCTAAAAGTATTAAAACTTGAGAGCTATCAAACTAGAATTTTCTACCAAAGGTAAATTAAAAACAAAACAAAAACTATCAACCTAGAATACTTTATTCAAGGAAAATATCAAAGACAGAGGTGAAATAAACTTTTTCAGAAACAAAAGGTGAAAGAATTCATCACCAACAGACTTGAACTACAAGAAACGATAAAGGAGTATCTTCTAGTAAAATAAAAATGATACCAAATGAAAACCTGGATCTACACAAAGGAAGAGCATCAGAAATGATAACCAAATAGGCAAATACTTAAAATATTGTTATTATTATTTAAATCTCTTTAAAAGATAATAGACCGCGTAAAGCAAAAAAAAAAATTTATGTATTGTGGGGTTTATGATCTTTGTAGTAGAAAAATGTATGACAAAACAGCTTATGGGCTGGGAAAGGAAAAACGGAAGCCTATTTTTGGAAGATTCTTATACATGAAGCAGTATAGCAGTATAGTATTGCTGGAAGGTAGACTGTTAGCTACACTTTGAGGATGTATGGTATAAACTCTAATAACAACAAAGAGTTAATAAGAGCTAATAAGCCAACAAAGGAGATAAAGCGAATTATAAAAAATATTCCACTAATTTAAGAGAAGGCAAAGAGGAACAAAGAACAGATGGTACAATTAGAAAACAAAGATGGCAGATTTAAATGCAACCATATCAATGATCACAAAATGTAAATGGCCCAAATTAAAAGGTAGACATTGTTAGAATGGATGGAGTAGACCCAACTATATGCAACCTACAGGAAAACCACTCTAAGTATAATAACATAGTTTGGCAAATCTCATTTCTAAAACCATTTTGGTCTAGAAGACATGATTGCTGATTATATTTTGTTTTTTTTAAAAATTGAGATATAATCAATATATAATGTCTTAGTTTCAAGTGTACAACATAATGATTCAACATTTGTACATACTGGGAAATAATGACCACAATGAGTCTAGTTAATATCTGATTATATTTCTTTAATGTTAATAGTTTATGCAAATTTTCCATTTCTCTTTGAGCTAATTTTGACATTCCGTAAAAATTATTCATTTGCTTCCATGCTTTCAGATTTATTGACATGTTTATAACAATGATTTAAAATATCCACCTATAATATAACTTTTTATTCCTAATATTTTAATTTGAGCCTTTCTTTTTTCCTGATTAGTAGAACTATATATTCAATTTCTGCTCTTATTTTTATTATTTACTTTCAAAATTAAATTGCAATACAGTAGTTGGGATTGAAAGAGAATACTAGATTTAGAAATTGCTTCTATAATACTAGATACCAAGGTATAAACAACCATAATAGCTTAGAAATGAACTATTATTCTGTATTTAAATGCTCAGAGCAGCTGATAAATATAATCAAATCTCACTTCAACACTAGTAATGGAAAATAACCATGACTCTTGCGTTATGGGGTCTACCTCAAAGTAAAAGACATGTGCTAGAAATTGCTATGAACAAAATCTCACATTAGTTATCAAATGTGTGGAAGTGAAGTTTTAATAACTTATAATAACCATGATATCTACAGGTAGGCCTTGCTTTAAGAAATCTAATCACAAACCCTAGCTTATAAAGCAGATGAATTAGAAGGACATTATGAATTCAATAAAAAAGTACCCACACTATACCAAAGAATTCACCACTGATTTTAAAAAGCTTACCTAGCACAAACATAACGTGATTTTACTTCCATATGTAGTTCAATGGGATACATATATACTGTAAATTGCGAGTAATGACAACATGAGAATTCTCTACACTGCAGCATTAACTCAGGTGTCACTTCCGAAGGTATAAAGGTTTCCTCTCTGGACCAGTCTCAAGAGCACTGACTTATCTGATCAATTCAGTGACAAAACAACTGAGCAACTTCAAAGTGCAAGACATTGTAAGAACGGTTAGTATTAGCAACAACACAGGTTAACCAGCAACCTTAACCTCTTTTCTACTAAAATAAGGCTATTTCCTCTGAATGAGTATTTGGTGAATACCACTATAAGTAATATAACGTGCAAGAAACAGTCTCTTCCATGGAAGAAGCACACAAATACATTATATAAAACATGTATATATATAATATATAACATACGTGGCTACTATTTGCTGATGGCTACTATGCATCACGCAGTATTAGGGCTTTTTACATACATTCATCCATTTAATCATCACGCTATAAAACTAGGTGGAAGGGGGAGGGAAGTAGCCCAGAACAGTGATCTTCAAAAAAGTCCATTTTTGTTTGAGTGGTGAAACTCTTGTACCTAGGCAGGTGAGTAGATTAATGTGGTCAAGCATCTTATTCAGAATCACCTAAACGGTCAGTGCCAAACATAAAGAATTAGAAACCAGGTTTCCTGCTTTTTTCCTGAGTTGTTCTGGAAACTCATCTAAATGCTTTTTCTCATGAGATGGAGCACACTCAGGAACAGTTAATACAGCAGTTATTTTTCCCTAACATTTGACCTGCTTTGACCTAATTATCCAGAGTCATCTACTACAAAAGTTACACGCATTGTGAGAAAACACATTTTTCTCCTGCAATTGTAGGTAACTTGGTATTTTCAAAAATAATATCCAGGTATTACTCCAAAGGAGAAAGTTCAGCATCTTTACTCTCAGTTCCATCCAGCTGGATGTAAATCCCATCAATCCTCTCTCTGAAATAGCCTCTGCATGTGTTATCACCATTTTAAAGACCATTAGTTTAATTGAGTACCTGGAAAAAAGATATGCTGTATAGTTGGTTCTAATTTTTAGCACTATATCTTTTATAGAGAGTTTTATATACGAACATTTTTACTTTTAAATGCCGATTATGTTGCTTTAGAAATAAAAGTTGCTACTTTTTCTTCCTCTGTTTTATACAATATCAAATGCATTATCAAAAATTTTATAATAAACTAGTTAAAAAAAAGCCCAAAGATTATTTAAGACACTAGGTGTGGTGGATTGTTTACAAACTACCCACAATTATTCCCCTCCCTCTATTTATGCTCCTTTTCAATGTGATTTTGCTGTTCCTAGTGTCCAGAGGTGAAGTCTACTGGCCTTATGACCATAAGGATGTAGTGGAAGTGATGTTGTGCCAGTTCTGAGCCTAAGCCTCAAGAAACCTTATATGCTTCATCTTCTCTTCAAACTCCCCCCAGCCATCATATGGACAAACTCAGCCTAGCCTCCCGGAGGACAAGAGAGCACATGCAGCAAAGATAAGCCATCCCACTGAGGCTATCTTAGGCCAGTCAACTCCTACCTGACAATGCAGCTACCACAAACACACGAATGAGACTAGATGAAGAACTGGCCAGCTGAGCAACTTGAATTATTTTGGATTATTTCCTTAGTATCCTTCTACAATATACAAAATTGAGAAAAATATTTTTAACAGATTATGTCAATAATTATCTGCATTTTTTACTGCCACAGACTGAATGTTTGTATCCCCTCAAAATTGACATATTAAATCCTAATGCTGAATGTGATAGTATAAGGAGCTGGGGGCTTTTGGGAGGTGATTAGGTCATGAGAGGGATTAGTGTCCTTATAAAAGAGGCCCCAGGGAGCTCCCTTGCCCCTTACACCATGTGAGGTTACAGCAAGAAGACGGCCATCTAGGAACCAGAAAGCTGGCTCTCACCAGACACTGAATCTGCTGGTGTCTTGACATTGGACTTCCTGTTGTTTCTAAGCCACTCAGTCTGTGGCATTTTGTTATAGCAACCCAAATGGACTAAGACACCTATTAACTTACACTCAGTGGAATGGTAATTATAATGATGTTCAAAAAGTAATAAAAACCAATTGATTCTGATTGAAGGAAAGCATATCCATATTAATTAAAGTCTGAATTTTAGTCTGTTTTTAAAAAGTATTAATTTCAAGTATGTACAATGAATTAAATTACAAGTCTTCAAAATACCTATCCAGCTGGGTCTGTAATTATTCATATACAAAATTCACTTGCACTAGAAATATCTAATATATTTAAGGAGGTTTTTTTCCCCCAAAATCAATTAAAACTATCTTCTGCAATCTTCATTCATTTATTAAGCATGGAAGTATCAAGCATCAAGCATATACTATGTGCCAGGCTCTGTTCAAGATGCTGGGAACACAGTGGAGAAGAACAAAGTGCAGAAATCTATGCTCCATTTTACACTCGAGTAGATCTTGCATGATACCGGGAAATTTCTAAGCAAAATCTTTAGAAATTTCAATTATTAAATACCCTTAAAGGTTTGAATTAGAATTTAATTTTAAGGATAAAATGTCTAATACTTTATCCCATTTAAGGACATAAAAATAAGCAGTAACTAGCATTGATTAAGAAAAAACCCCTCCCCAAATGATTTCCCAATTACCACGATACACGTTTAATTATCACAAAAGTAGACATAAATGTGTACTATGAATACTCATCATAGATAATATAATTAAGTAATATTAAGGTTTATTCTGAGAATAATCAGGAGATTTAAGTATAAAACAATTTTTTTCAAAATCATCAATTCCAAAAGAATTTTTTTCAAAATCAGCAATTCCCAAAGTTCCATGCACCCCTATGTTCATCACAGCATTATTCACAATAGCCAAGTCATGGAACCAACCTAAGTGCCCAGCAACTGAGGATTGGATAAAGAAGATGTGGTATATATATATACAATGGAATACTACTCAGCCATAAAAAAGGACAAAGTCGTCCCATTCACAACAATATGGATAGACCTTGAGGGTATTATGTTGAATGAAATAAGCCAGACAGAGAAAGACGAACTCTGTATGACTCCACTCATAGGCGGTAGTTAACATATGGGCAAAGATAACTGATCGGTGGTTGCCAGGGGAAAGGGGGGGGGGGGGAGGGCACTAGGGTTGAAGTGGTGTACCTACAACATGACTAATAATGATGTACAACTGTAATTTCACAAGGTTGTTAACTTTCATAACCTGAATAAAAAAAAAAGAATTTTTTTCAAAGCTTTGGTACTCAAACATGCAAAATTTTTGGAATGTCCTCAAAAATTTCCACAATTATTATCTCCAAGTCATTGAATTTTAAACATCCATGAGTTTCATAGTTCCTGTGCCTTCAGATCTAACATATATTAGTTAAGGAAATTACTGCTTTAAAAGTAGCTTTCAGTTTGATAGTACCCAAGTGTAAAACACAAAGACACTATCTTTAGCTTTAATAGTTCATTAGCATTGCAGCAAACTTGCTACACATACAAAGAAGATGGAGAGGAGTTTCCAAATAATGAGTAACATTAATGTGAATGGGAGGATGGTAGAAAACAGACAGACAGACAGACAGACAGATATATAGACAGACAGACCACAGACCAACCCTCAGTTTTGACAGTGCTTCTTTAATTTTTTTTTGGCAGAGAAAGATTTGCCCTGACCTAACATCTGTTGCAGATCTTCCTCTTTTTTTTTTTTTCTCCCCAAAGCCCCAGGGGATGGCTGTATATCCTAGTTGTAAGTCCTTTAGTTCTTCTATATCAGCCGCCACCACAGCATGGCAATTGACAGACGGGTGGTGTGGTTCTGCAACCAGGAAATGAACCTGGGCCACAGAGGCAGTGAGAGCACTGAACTTTAATCACTAGGCCATCAGGGCTGGCTCTGATGGTGGTTCTTAAAGGGACTGGGATCAGGGAGCAAGAGACAAGAGACATCAACGTATCTGTAAGGTTCTATTTCTTAAACTCTAAAGTAGCAAACACAAAAGTATTTGGTTTTATCAATTTACATTTCTGTATACCTGACATATTTAGTAATTTAAAAAAAACAGACTCACCGATCAATTACAATTTCTTTCTGCCTCAGTAGTCCTTCTTTTATTTTCAGCACTGATTCCCACTTACTGAAATCCTGATAGCCAGAAGGTGAGTAAGTCTGACGAGATGATCCAGTCAAAACCTGCACAAACATGTTTACACTATTAGTATACTAAAAGTGTCTAAAGGGAATATTTATATGTTATCTAATATTTTCCCATGATTTTCATGAAAAAATAGAGAACTTTCCATTTGATATTTTTAAGATTATGTGAAATCACACTTGTGAATACAACAAAAGTTGAAGAATTTCAAGAAGTTACAAAGTAAATGTACAAGTCTAATGAAGAATTGGTGACAAGAGAATATTTAATCTGACTTATTATAATACTATATATTATATCTTGTTCTCATTATCTTGTGGAAGTTTTCTGAAAATAAGAGATTAATCACTGCCTAAGGAAGGCATACAATAAAAAAATGTACCATGGCTAGTCTAGACAAACATCACCAGAAGAGTTTCCACAAGGAAATAAAAACAGTATCTGCAGCATTCAGACTTCAAATTGTCATTCATTGAATCATCATTTAATTCCACTAAAATTTCAAAAGCAAAAATATTTTTAAAGTAGTAACTATATCCATAGAAAACATGACTATTAAGCAGATAATCTGGACGATTACTGGTCTCCAATGTAAATGATGCCGTTTAGAAAAAAATCTGCTTAGAATTTAAGACAAATCTTAGATATTTAAAACAAATCAACAACAATAAAAACCAATATGGCAGATATCCTCAAATTTCTATCATTGAAACAAAAATTTAATATTTAATACTGGTGTTGTGGGTTGAATTACATTCCCCTCAAAAATATATATTGAGAGTAATGTCAGCAATATGGCAGAGTGAGCTGTTCCCTTTCTCTCTCCCTCTTCAAACTACAACTAAATGGACATTGATTGATCAATGGAGGATACCCACACAGCACAACAGGATGCCTGGAGATCCATGCAGCTATACATCTGAAGGTGGATGGACTACCCTTGGGGAGGTGGTAGAGATAGGTGAGCACTCTCCAGCAGCCCTGTGCATGTGCACAACTGCTCTCCCAGCTGGCATGAGTGCCCATAATACCACTGCAGCCCTGAGGGTGGGAGCTCGCCATGTCACAACTGTGTGAACACATGATGGCTGCCCTGAGCCCGTGTGATCACCTTCCTGTCCAGTGGGAGTGCCCACAGTGCCGTGGCAGTCCCAGGGAGTGGCCCAGGCTAGGACCCCATTGGGAGGCCTCGCTTACCAAACATAGCAGCCAGTATGACTGTAGGAAGAGGTGGTGGTGGATCTGTGTGCCCAGGCAAATGATTTCCCAGCTGGCATGAATCCCCATAGTACCGCTGTGGCCCCAAAGGTAGGAGTGCATCTGGGTGTGACTGTGGGATCAGGGAGGAGCAGCCCTAAGCCCATGTGATCACTTTCCTTTCTGGTGGGAGAGCCCACAGTGCTGCTGTGGTCCCAAGGAGTGGCCCAGGCTTGGACCTCATGGGGAAGCCCTGCCCACCAAGCACAGCGGCTGGTGTTACCGTAAGAAGAGGTGGTGGCAGATCTAGTGCCCAGGTGAATGATTTCCCGGCTGGTGTGAATGCCCATACTACCACTGTGGCCCCAAAGGTGGGAACACGCCCCAGCAGCCCTGAGCCCCACGTGATCACTTTCCCGTCTGGTGGGAGAGCCCACAGTGCTGCTGTGGTCCCAAGGAGTGGCCCAGGCTCAGACCCCGTGAGGAAGACCCACTAGCGCAACCTTAAGAAGAGGCAACAGGAGATCTATGTGCCCAGGTGAACACCTCCCTAGCTGATGTAAGTGTTCATAATACCCCACAACTCCCAGCAGACAAGGTAGGATCAAAAACACAGCTCCTGCTTCCCCTCAGCAGTAGCAAGTGGAATCTGCGACCTGATACTACCATAAATGCCCAGGGAAAGGATTAGTTCATAAAATACCATGAGAAACTACAGCAACAATTCAGAGTAGAAGGAAAATTACAATTCTCCAGAAACCAACCCTGAAGTCACAGAAATTTATACTCTAAATGCCAGAGAATTCAAAATGGCTGTCATAAAGAAACTCAACAAGTTACAAGAAAACTCAGAAAGACAGTTCAAGGACCTCCGGAATAAAATTAATGAGAAGAAGGAATACTTCACCAAAGAGATTGAAACTATAAACAAAAAAAAAAAGAGCAGAAATCCTGGATATGAAGAACATGATTAATGAAATAAAAACATATTGTAGAATCTTTTAAAAATAAAGCTGATGTTATGGAGGAAAGAATTAGTGATTTAGAGGATAGAAATATAGAATCGCTTCAAGCATAGGAGGAGAAAGAACTAAGATTTTTAAAAAATGAAGGACTTCTTTGAGAAATATCCAACTCAATTAGGAATGGCAACATAGCATTATAGGTATTCCAGAGGGAGAAGGAAGGAAGAAAGGAGCAAAGAGCTTGTTTCAAGAAATAATACCTGAGAAATTCCCAAACCTGTGGAACTTACAGATACATGAAGCCAACAGAACTCCTAATTATATCAATGCTGAAAGACCTTCTGCAAGGCATATAATAGTAAACTGGCAAAAGTCAACAACAAAGAAAAAATATTAAGAGCAGCAAGGCAGAAGAAAATAAACTACAAAGTAAACCCTATCAGGCTTTCAGCAGATTTCTCAGCAGAAACCGTACATGCTAGGAGAGAATGGAATGATATACTGAAAATACTGAAAGACAAAAACTTTCAGCCAAGAATATGCTATCCAGCAAAACTATCATTCACATACAATGAAGAAATAAAAGCTTTCCCAGATAAACCAAAGTTCAGAGAATTCATTGCCACTAGACCTCCCCTATAAGAAATGATCAAGGATGCCCTCACAGCTGGCATAAAAAGGCAAAGGTCTACAAAGCTTTGAGCAAGGAGATAAACAGACAAAATCAGAAAACTGCCACTCTCTTTCATAACAAAGAAGCAAATACTTAATTATAACTTGAAAGATAAAGGGAAGGAAAGAATCAAAAGTAACCATAAACACTTCAACTTAGTCACAAACTCACAACACAGAACAGAATAATTTTTAACAATAATAATTCAGAAGGGGAAGAGGAAAGGGACGGAAGCTGCTTAGGCTAATGGAGATAAGAGGCTATGAGAAAACTGACTCTCTCATCTATGAGATCTTTTATACAACCTTAAGGTAACCACTAAACAAAAAAATCAGAGCAGAGCTGCACTTAAAAAAAAAAGAGAAAACCGAGAAACTCACCACAGAAAATTTCTAAAATGAAATGGCAGTCAGAAATACAAAGGAAGAGAAACAACAGAAACACAGAACAACCAGAAAACTAGAGATAAAATGGCAGTATTAAGCCCTCATATATCAATAATCACTCTAAATGTAAATGGATTGAGTTCTCCCATCAAAAGACACAGAGTGGCTGGATGGATTAAAAAACAAGACCCAACAATATGCTGCCTCCAGGCAACACACATCTCAGCTCTAAAGACCAATGGGCTCAGAGTGAAGGGATAGGAGACGATACTCCAAGCAAATGGCAAACAAAAGAAAGCAGGTGTTGCTATCCTTGTATCAGACAAAACAGACTTCAAGATAAAAAAACACAGTAAAAGACAAAAAGGGGCAGTATATAATGATAAAATGGACTTTCCACCAAGAGGACATAACACTTATGAATATATATGCACCTAACACAGGAGTATATAAAGCAACTAATAACAGACCTAAAGGGAGAAATTAACAGCAACACAATAACAGTAGGGGACCTCAACACCCCACTTACATCAACAGATAGATCATCCAGACAGAAAGTGCACAAGGAAATAGTGGATTTAAATGATACATTTGATCAGGTGGACTTAATAGACATATAGAGAGCATTCCATCCAAAAACAGCAGAATAAACGTTCTTCTAAAGTACACATGGAATATTCTCAAAGAGAGACCATATATATGTTGGGAACAAAGGCAAGCCTCAATAAATTTAAGAAGACTGAAATCATATCAAGCATCTTTTCCAACCACAATGCTATGAAACTAGAAATCAACTACAAGAAAAAAACGGGCAAAGTTGTGGAGACTAAACAACATGCACTGAACAACCACATTGAATGAATGAAGAATTCAAAGGAGAAATTAAAAAATACCTGGAGGTAAATGAAAACAAAAATACAACAAACATACCAACTCTTAGGGGACGCAGAACAAGCAGTTATAAGAGGGAAATTTGTAGCAATACAGGCCCATCTTAACAAACAAGAAAAATCTCAAATAAGTAATCTTAATCTACATCTAACAGAACTAGAAAAAGAAAAATAAAGCCCCAAGTCAGCAGGAGGAAAATAATAAAAATTAGAGCAGAAATAAACGAAAGAGAGACTGAAAAAAAAAATGGTAGAAAGGATCAATGAAACGAAGAGCTGGTTCTTTGAGAAGATAAAATTGACAAACCCTTTGCCAGACTCACCAAGAAAAAAAGAGAGAAGGTTCAAACAAATAAAATTAGAAAGGAAAGAGGAGAAATTACAACAGATACCACATAAATACAAAGGATTATTAAGAGAACACTATGAAAAACTATATGTCCACAATTGGATAACCTAGAAAAAATGGATAAATTCTTAGACTCATACAACCTCCTAAAACTGAATCAAGAAGAAATAGAGAATCTGAATAGACCAATCACAAATAAAGAGATTGAAACAGTAATCAAAAACCTCCCAAAAAACAAAAGTCTAGGACCAGATGGCTTCTCTGGAGAATTCTACCAAACATTCAAAGAAGATTTAATATCTATCTTTCTCAAACTATTTCAAAAAATTGAAGAAGATGGAACACTTCCTAACTCATTCTATCAGGCCAACATTAGCCTGATATGAAAACCAGAAAAGGATAACCAAAGAAGGAAAATTACAGGCCAATACTGCTGATGAACACTGATGCAAAAATCCTCAACAGAATACTGGCAAACCTAATACAGCCATACATTACAAGGATCATACACCAAGATCAAGTAGAACTTATCCCAGGGATGCAGGGATGGTGCAACATCTGCAAATCAATCAATGTGA